TATATATATATATATATATAAAATTTAGATTTAGTCGCGATATTTTTCGATAGTACAAAAACGCAATATTTTTAGGTGCATCGAACAGGCTCTGCTCATTAACAAGGAAATGGGAGACTTGTCAAATGTGTCGCAGTTAGCTCACAGCGCTTGTAGCCTCTTTCAGCAACACGGTTCTCCCGAATCAGGTGTAACTACTCTCGACAAGGCAGCTAAGATGTTGGAAAGTACCCAACCAGAGCAAGCTTTGGAGCTCTTTAAACGCGCGGCTGACATAGTCATGGTGAGCAATTACCGCTTTAAACGCAAATAATTTAAAACATAAGAAGTCTTTAGTGCACTCAAATCAACTGTTTCATCTTTTTCAAGGGTGAGGATAGTCCGCGCCATGCGGCCGAATACATGAGCAAGGCGGCAAGACTGCTGGTGAAGCTGCAAAGGTATGACGAAGCGGCAGACGCTATACGTCGAGAGATCGGAATGCATCAGCAGATAAAGCACTGGCAATCCATAGGCAGACTAACTGTGGCGTTGGTGCTGGTGCAACTGGCACGGGATGATCAAGTAGCGGCAGAGAAGGCATTCAAAGAATGGGGCAATTATTGCGAAGCTCCTGAGGTACGGGAGACTCTTGTTAATTTGAACAAACACCACAATTTTTGCGCGATTGCAATTTTCAACTGAGAATTCCATTTCCATGAATTTCTTGATCAACGTAAGCCTCATCCATTGAATTTAGGTGCAAACATTGGAGATGTTGCTGCAAGCATACGACAACGAGGACGCGGATTCAGCTAGGGCAGCGCTAAACAGCCCTTTCATCAAACATATGGACGTGGAATATGCTAAATTGGCGCGAGGTTTATCTCTACCTCAGCAGCAGTACTCTGTCCCGCCTGCTGGAGTAAGGGCGAACGCTGCAGAATCTTATGTTTCTCCTAATGCGTCAAAGGCAATGGGGCAATCTACAGTTGAAGCCGAAGTTAATCATGCAACGGCTAATCAACCGTTGGAAAAGAAGGCTGAGCCGGGGGTTTCTGCACCACCGGTGCAAAAAGCAAATGAGGAAGAAGATGAATACGAAGGTGGCCTATGTTGATCATATTATATATATATATATATTATAGTAATGTCCTCTAATTGGCATGCTTGCAAAATGTACCTGTAATATATGCATGTGTATTGACAATTTATGTATATTGTACGTTTTTCGTCGAAAACACACTGTTGGCTTTGAGAAACAACCCATGTTGTTAACTTTTAAAATATTAATAATTATTTCTCTAATATCATAAGTTTTGATAATTTGACCGTCTTATAGTTTCATCTACTCATTAGCAGCCTTTATATAACTCTTAATTAATAATTAACTAATGTTTCACATGTTTGGACAATTTAAACGATAAGATATGAATGAGAATAAAGATGGAAAGATACACTTAGTTTTTCAGCACCGCTCTAGCGATCGTTATACTGAAGTCTGTTATGATTGCGAGAGTTTACGAGTTAATAAAAACGTACAATTCGAAATCCCTTCCGAAGCGTTGTGTATAACTTTCCAATACATTAATCCTGCATCGTTTCTGTGGAACGTTTTTTTAATAAAAAAAATTTCTCAAAGATTACCAAAACATCGTTCTCATATCTTGATAGAGGTTATGTTCGCTGATTGCATGCAGTACGATACGTTAACGGCACGTTACGAAACGTTAACGGCAAAGAAGTACTCACCAGGAAGAAGTTACACGGGAACAATCACGGAAGTAGCGGGAAAGGTTTTCTTGATCGCAAATCCACAGGCAGTTGCTAAAAAGTACACCTGAAGTTGAGACGAATTTAAACTAATGATGTGACAGTTCACGAATTTAAAATACACGCGGCAAATGGTGGCGTTCAGAGAACACGACTGGCCGAAGCAATATGCTACCGTACAGTTGGTTGACAAAACAATTGTGACATCATAAGGGTGTGTTCTTTTATTTGCAACAGAAGCGGCCCGTTGCATCCGATATATAATTTAGCCGTTTTTTGTATCTAGTTGCGCACAGCAACTGCGGGCTGCGTTAATCTTGACTGCGTTCTTTAATTCGAGTTGCAAACAAAACTGCTCAATTTGTTTACATTTTTTGGCTGCTTCCCCATACGGAGTAACTTGTGTAAGCGCAACTTGCGTCAGCCAATCAAATCGTCTTAATTACCCAATTACTAATTACCACGGCGGATTTGATTGGCTGACGCAAGTTACGCTTACGCAAGTTACGCCGCATAGGGAGGCATCATCAGCATCCCATTCTAAATGATTGCCGATAGAAGACAGATTGAAGCCTGATCGAATGCAAATGCCTCAAGTACGAACACGACTCCTTTGATGTGAAGAAAAGAACACGTTTGATGCAGCTTAGTGTTGGAGACCTTTAGACCATCCAAAACCATAATTGAGAAGAAGAAGGAACATGTTTGATGGATTAAAAGGTTAGACAATCTTAATTAATTGATATAGTACTTTCAATAAATGTAATTAAATATGTATTAATAATGTCTAGATATTGTAATGAATGCTGTAAAAACTAATTGAACAAATTAATTTATTAATCGATTTGTAGATGTAGGAGAATTTTTCTAGGAGAATATTATTGTTCCTAGCTAGTAACTTTAAAAAATGAAATCTTGATGCATCCACGAGATGTATTCAGCTGCATCTGTTCCGAATAAAAGAACGCACTCTTAATCCTCGACCTTCTGCGTGGATAAATTCTGCCGCTGTCAAAATGTGATTGCTGTCGCTGACTGTACTGAACCGTGTAAAGAAGACTCACTTTTTATGTCTTAAATATCGCTCGGCCAGCTCGGATCACTTCACTTTTCGAAGCCACCTGAATTCATAGAGCTTCGTTTGGCTACACGGATATGTTATGCATGTTGTAAACCAGCGGCACATGATGCTTGTTTTCGTGCTTACTGGATAGAAATACTGAGTTCTAATTGGTGCATTTCCAAAAATAGATGACAATATACCAATCAAGACGCAATGTTTCCATCCAGCAAACAATCCAGTACGAAAACAAGCATCGTGTATTGCTGGCTTTAGTGTCGGAGGGACGAGGGACGTCAGTACATCATTGCTTTGCAATATTGCAATTTATAGTTTAAGTTACGTATACTATACTTTGCAATATTGTAATACTCGTATCAAACTATGGATTAGGATTGAGATTGGATTGAAATTTAACCAATCAAGGCAAAATTCACTAAACTCAAATTTAGTGAAATTTAATGAATTCTACACTGATTTGTCAAACTTCAATTCAATCTCCATCTTTAATCCATAGTCTGATACGAGTTTAACGATTAGCGATACGCTGCTCGAGTCGAGTTGAGTCAGCAAATCGAAAACGTCATGAATCTGATACGAATAATGTACCATTACTGAGAACATTAGTCATATGTCTAGTGACATCAATAATGTCGTCACGTAATATTACGAATGACTTTATCACCAATACTTCTGTCGGCAGCTCTCCGACAACCACTTAACAAATTTCACGAAAGAGATGTTATTATGATGGAGACCAACAAAAAAGAAAATACTTAATGTAACACGTGTAACAATTAAAAAGTAGGAACGTATAAAATTTGTTATAATAAAGTAAGTTGTTAGAAAAGTATATCCAGACAGCTCAATGTTCAAAATCGGGACATAAGACGTTTCTTAGACGTCTCAAAAACATTTTAAAGACGTCTTATATTACGACATCTTAAACACGACTTCAAGACGTCTAAAAGATGTCTCATATCCTGATTTTGGACATTTATGCTCTCCAGGTATGTATAATATCCTTAAATACTATGGCTGTAAACGTGAATGTACGAGATACAAAATATTCGCTATCGTAAAACAGTTTAATACCTACGGACAACTTTCACGCACGAATGAAAATAATTTGGTCGACTTATTGGGCTTTCGGGAACATGATATTAAAAATAGGAGCATTGTACAGATCGATAAAAGCTGTAATAATCTGTGCATGGCGGAGCTTGGGACCAAGTCGTCGGGCACGCCAAGCGGTAGTTCCTGGCACCGATTCATCTTCAATGAATTTCTCAGCTCTTTCTCGTCAATCTCAATATTACTTGGAAATTAAGAAAAAGAGGATTGTGGCTAATATTCAAAACGTATATTAACGGTCGTAAATATATATAATTGTGCAAGAGGAAACTCACTAATTTCTCTTTCCTACTCGGTTTATAAAATAAAATTGGGTTTCATTAGTTTAAAATAAGAATTTTCACAGAAAAAAATATCCTTCTAAAAATATTTCAGTCGTTGTTTTCTCCATTGTCGCGCGAAGCGTGGTCCAATTGTACAATTGTTTGCTTACGATGATATTACGATGCTGCAATATTATGGATTTTTGTATGCACGTATGTGTGTCATTATTTATGATTACAGAGAAAACGTTTCGTTAGCGGAAGGAGGTGTCTATCTTGCTGCGGAATACGGTAACTCTGCGTACCGTACCGAGTACGCACATATCTTATATGCTCGTATATTGAAAAGCCTTTATTTACTGAATACAGTTCTTTCGTAAAGGAGATGCAATTTTATTACACTATTTATACATTTTTTATATTTCACAATACAATACATTTTTTATATTTCAATTTCAGTTTCATCATTGCCGGAAAAGAGAGGGGATGCGATTTAATAGAACTTTGAAGTTCTTACGCGATTATAATCCAGATTGGATAGAAAATAATAATAATAGTAATAATAATAATAGTAATAATAATAAGAATAACATTTCCTTTATTAGACTCTAATCATTACATACAGAATCCAAAAATATTATAAGGCGTTATATGTTGAGATTTATCAAAAGACATCCCAGACAGCAGAATGTCCAAAATCGAGACATAAGACGTGTTTTAGAGATCTTAACAATATCTTAAAGACATCTTATATCACATCTTAAATACGATTTCAAGTTATCTAAAAGACGTCTCATGTCCCAATTTTGGACATTTGTGCTGTCTCTGTTGCTATAAACTACAAAATCACGATAACACTAAAATGACGAAAAAGTAATCGAATTATGATCGAATTATGATCGAAAAGTGAATTATTACAATCATTTTCTCATCATTTTGATATCATTCTGATTTTCTGTTCTACCTGAATGTTGCGCGTAATCTCACAATATTTATATATGAAAATCATTTTACATTAGTTGCAAGCCGAACGCAGCAGACGAAATTCCTGTTGTAACAGCCAACCAGAAGCATCAATGGTGCTATAGACGCTTCTGATTGGCTGTCGCAACAAGAGTTGTAATCGATTATGTAATACTAACGTAGAACAATCTTAATACGCGAGGACACGTGAAAGACACGCGAAGCGACATACATAAGATGCAATCCATTAGATGCTGCAAATACTTTGGAATGCCATATAGACCAATCATGGCTTTTCTTTGGGCACTTCAAAGCGCTGCAGCATCTAATGGATCGCATCCTTAATTTCAGACACTTTACTCGCATGATTTTTACAGCAATGACGTCGCCTACGTGGCTCTTCTGAGTATTTATAAACATATGTAAGCACGTTTGACAGTTCCTGTACTCGATATATCGACAAGGAAAGGAATGAATAAGCACGTGGTAGTCAATAACAGGTATATAATCAGCGGCTATTAGCGGCCACTATTGATTTCAGATTACACTCCGATCAATCGTGAGAGAAGAAGTTTCTCGCCGCCGATTCATTAAATTTACGTATACAAAATCCGCAATGTTATCAATCCTTGTTGGCTATCTTTTGAATGCACATCAGCACTTTTCTTTCATATTCGACGTATGCAGTTTCTCCTAGAACTTCATGATGAGATTTTTGAAAGAAAAAGGAGAACTTAACGAATATCTTTTAAATATACGTATAACTTAGTAAATAACCAAATTAGGAATTTTATGCTATTTTGACGCTTTAAAGGACAATTTGTACCTACTTAGATGACTTATAGATACTAATCTTTTACTAAAAAACTTACTTTAACGATATTTTCAGACAGCACAACGTCCAAAATTGAGACGTAAAACATTTTTTAAACGTCTTAAAAATATATATAATATAAAGACGTCTTACACTGTAATGTTTATAACATTGTGTTTACATAGCAATTATTGTTTGCAGCAAAATTATGTTGATGCAAAGGAGATTAAACAAACTAAGATTAGATTATTTTAATAAAAAAAGTGCTACTTTAATTTTTGCATTTTCTCATTTAATTAATATTTTTACTTAATAAGATGAATTTAATTAATAATAATATTAAATAAAATAATAATAATTTAATAAAAAATATGTCTCTTTTTAGTTTCGAGTCTGAAGTGGTTACTCACCCATGACCTAACCGTGATCAGTTTTTCAACACACCAGTATCTTTGAGCATGTATGTCAATCTTTGCGAAAGAAGACCGAAGAATGTATCATGGCGGAAAGTAGTCATTTTCAACAATTCATTTAATGTTTCATTTCAAATTTTTTGTATTTTTGAAATATTACTCCTGATGTGTTATAAGCTTATACCAAGTTTCAATAAAATACTTTAAAGTCTGTGTAACATTAACATTTTTCTGAAAATTTCAACATCCTATATTTCGGAAACTAAGCTGTTTAGGATATATGTTTATATGAGCTATTTTATTTAAAATGAACTAAAGAATCGCCCCCTTGAGTAAAGGCTATATGACTACTTAAGAACATCTTGTACATTCTATATCATTAAAAAAATATATATGTAATAGTATAATGCTAGTATATGTTTAAAACAACGTATGATCAGTTGCCATGTAATGTAATATATGTTGGTGAAACAGTGATGTCATTTTTAGATTTTTAATTACAGGTTATAGTAAATTTCAAAACAGTAATTTTCAAAGTAACTATAAGTTACTTTGAAAAACACATATATTATGAAACTCATAAATTATGAAATAAAACAATTCATTAATTATGAAAGCATTTATGTATATTGTTCTCGTTATCAAAATTTTTTAATTATTTTATTAAAAGTACATTTACATTTATACATTTATAATATTCGATAAATAAATGGAACATCATGGACGAATTCATAAAATATCCTGAAAATACACGAAAATATAATGATATACCATACAATATAGAAAAAATATAATAAAATTCTATTAATTATTAATTAAATTCTATTAATTATTAAATACTATTAATTACTGCCGCCAAGTACTATAAAAACAAGTAAAAATTGACAAATATGTATATCTTCTTAAAAATTTCTTATAAAATCCATCCTACCCTTCATAAATGGAATAATAAATTCCAATATTAATTTATTTCACTAGGTACTGATAACTCATGTGAAACAGTACTGAAATACTGGGCACAACTGCTAATACAGGTTTTAATTATTAGGTGCAGTATTTCACACGAATAATTAATTCCTGAGGAAGACTTCGCAATAATTTATTATTAGAGCTCCGTATTAGATCAGTCATTATTATTGTCGTCATTATCACTTAATTATTTTACTTTATTAGTATCTCTGTAATTTAAGTACTCAAAATCATTCGGCATTAGTGCTAATATTAATAAAATACAGTAATTTATCACTGACTAGTCAATAATGCCACGGAAATCTCTCTCCAAAAATTTGCCGTTCGGAAGGGACGATTAAACTGTAGGTCCCATATGCATGTGTATAATCCACGTGCGCATCCCATGCATATGTGAGAGAAAGGTAAGCCCAGACCTTATTAAGGCTGTTGTGCCATCGAAAGAAAAAAGAAGAAAAGAAGAAAAGTAGTTAATGATACTTTTCTGTAAGAGAAGCTATAAATATCCTCGAAATTTTAATTATTAAATTCATGTAAATATTTAAAACAACCTATTTTGGCGCTAAAAACAACGAAACGGAAATTTAAGATATCATTATGGTCCAAATGGAAGTAAATTATATTATTGAAATTGAATTTCTCTCTTTATTAGAATTTTGCGATCTCAGTTCCTAGTACATTGTAAAACTGAAAGCCTAAAGGCCAAAATTTTTACTCGGATATGCCCCCCCCCCCTCTCTCTTTCTCTCTCTCTCTCTTTTATATACATCACAACTATTACATACGATTAAAACTGCCAGATCATGGGATTTTTGGATTATGATTTATGTGATTTTAGAAATGCAATGATCAGAACACAGTATCTATTCTGTCTGAAACACAAACAAGCCAGCATAAATACAAGTATCGTGTGCCCCAAGTTTTATATTCATGTAGTGTTATATAAGTCGCACACTACATAAATTATGATTCAGAAATCCCACGATCTCGCAGCTCTACATGTGGAACTCTTTGGACTAATTAGTATTTTTGACAAAATAACATGGCCATTCGTACCATGTTTCTCGGGGTCATTAATTGCTGATTGACATATAATACATCGGCATTTAATAGAGGCCGTCGTTATCTTTCACTCAGGAAATCGACATTTTCTACGCAAACATTTTTCTTATGCCAACGGTTTGCCCCTCGAAAAAGGTCTGATTCCAGGTTCTCTCTCTCATAAATTTTCCTGATGATTCTTTTCTAATCGGGAAGGTAAATCGTCTATTACCAGGTGTAGAAGTATGAAACCGGAATTTTTTTGTAAAAATTACTCGTCTGTTGTTTGAAAATGATAAAAAATATTTTATTCAAAATAATGTCCATTGCTATTTATACATTTTTCCCACCTCTCCGGCAGTTTATGAATGCCACGCCAAAAAAACATTTCTTCTTTTGAAGCGAACCAGCTATCGAGCCATTTTCGAACATTTTCATACGAATTGAAGCGTTGTTCAGCGAGAGCGTGTCCCATTGATGCGAATAGATGATAATCGGACGGAGCCAAGTCTGGAGAATAAGCCGCATGCGTTAGTATTTCCCAACTGAACGCCTCGATCGTTTCCCTGACCCGTTTTGCTGTGTGTGATGGGGCATTATCATGGAGCAAAATGACTTTGTGTTGCCTTTTTCCATATTCCGGTCGTTTTTCACGCGATTTAAATCGATCATTTGCTGTTGGTAGCGATCAGTGTTAACGGTTTCACCAGGTTTTAGCAGCTCATAATAGATTACACCCTTCTGATCCCACCAAACACAGAGCATTGTCTTCTTTCCAAAGCGATTGCAGTGGATGTCGATGGTTCGCCTGGATTCACTCATGATTTCTGACGCTTAGGATTCTCAAAATATATACATTTTTCATCACCTGTCATAATACGATGGACTTTCTTTTGTATCTGTCGAGCAGCATTTCACAAGTGGTTTTTCGATTTTCTTGCTGTCTTTCATTCAGTTCATGCGGAACCCATTTTCCCACTTTCTGAATCTTTCCCACGGCTTTCAAACGAATTGAGACAGCTTTCTGCGTCACATTCAATTCATCCGCGAGTTCTTCTTGAGTTTGAGTATCATCTTCATCCAATAAGGCTTGCAATTCGTTGTCTGCGAACTTTTTCGGTGGTTTCCCACGCTCTTCGTTTCTCACGTCAAAATCACCACTTTTGAATTTTTTCAACCACTCGAAACACTGTGTTTTACCAAGAGCATGTTCACCGTAAGCTTCGACAAGCATTCGATGCGCAGCAGTTTTCTTCAAATGATAACAAAAAACCAATGCTGTCCGCAAATCGTAGTTCGTAGGCACAAAACTCAACATGTTTAAGGTTATAGAAATATATACCGGTATACCAGGTGTATGGAACTTGCGTTGTTGTGTGTTGAAAATCTTCGTCAGCTGTTAGAGAGAGATGATGGCGCTGCAGAAGCGGTCTTACGGTCCCTAAACTGATGGCTAGTACCATCTATAGGAAAATTCCGGTTTCATACTTCTACATCTGGTAGTACTATGTGAAATAAAATGTATTCTTGTATATTCCATTACCTTTTGTCGCCTAAAAATATGCTTTCATATACAACGTATGTATTATCAGCCGATTAGAAGCAGTAACACTTTTTTTCAATGAGTTTCGCAAAGTATCCTGTGTTCAATAGAAGAATTTGTTTTTTAGTAATTCTTTGGAGATACATTTTCCTTCCATTAGATAAGAGATAAACGATTTGTGACTCACAAAAAAAATGTTGCAACCTTTGATCTGCCGATTGTGTATATGTGTATAATAAAATTTGTATTTATGCTGGATTGTTTGTGTTCCAGACAGAATAGATACTGTGTTCTGATCATTGCATTTCTAAAATCACATAAATCATTATCCAAAAATCCCATGGTCTGGCAGTTTTGATCGTATGTGATAGTTGTGAGGTATATAAAAGAGAGTGAGAGAGAGAGAGAGGGGGGGGGGGGCATATCCGAGTAAAAATTTTGACCATTAGGCTTTCAATTTTACAATGTACCAGGAACTGAGATCGCAAAATTCTAATTTTCTTTGTAACTCACAAAAAAATTGTTGCAACCTTTGATCTGCCAATTGTATATATGTAAATAATAAAATTTCTTTTGTTTTTATTTTCTTTTGTTTTCTTTTGTTTTCACTCTTGGTAAAATATATAGCATTTTCATTCTGTTTTTCTACGAGTAAGAAAAGCGGAGGACGTCGTCGCCCATAAATCCCATTTTTGGCGACGCCACCGAAATGTCGCGCGGTCCAGAGAGGATCAGAAGGATATTCGCCGTTGGCGGACAGCGGTATTGATCAAGAGAGTGCGTCAGGAGGAATCTCTCTCTCTCTCTCTCTTCCTTTTTTCTGTTCGCGAGTCGTCGGGGCGTCGGTTCCTCGCCTTGAATGCAGGGGGATGAATGGGCGCGGGTGGGGGTCAGCGCTCCGCCGGGGAGAATGGAAGAGTGAAGGGGACCGATGTGCACGCACCGGGTGCGCTGCGCGCACACGCAGTGTTCAGATGCGCGTCGTTGGCAGCGTACATAGATTTACGGTGTACCGGTTGCCGGGCTGGTGTTGGTGGCGGCACGCACGTGGTGTCTGTCGACGAGGGTGAACAGCGGAAGAGTGGCAGCAGCGCGAGAAGCGTCAACGAGAGAGACGAAAGAACGCCGCTAGAAGAGGGGGGATTGGCAGTCTCGGAGGACTCGCGATGCCGGCTGATACGCTTGTCGTGTCGTTATTCAAGACCACAGGCCTTTCACTTTTCCAAAGAGACTTGCTTGTAGTGAGTAGACGCACATTTTACATCTTCTTCCGCTGGAACACTGGTGGACAATCTTGCAAGCCATTGTGAATTTTTTCCTCCAACTTGTGAAAAGTGAAAATATCCAAATGCCTTCAAGTTGGAACATTTCCACTTTTCACGAGTTGATGTTAGAGAAAAAGATTCATGATCGACTTCATTGTGGCAATTCGCGAGCAGCGTTGTTATATATATGATCATTGACCTTATAGATATGGACTGGCAAGTGCCAATAGTTTCTCTCTCTCTCTCACTCACTCACTCACTCACTCACTCACTCACTCTTAAGGCACTTCCAGACACTTTAAGAAAGAGAAGTACTGAAAAATATGTTTCTCTCTCTCTCTAACTTTCTTCAAGACAAGGT